CCAGCGGCTACATCATTTTAACCCTCCTACATTTAGGCTTGTGCACAGCTCTGAAAAGTTAACCTATAGTAGTTGCTAACATTTTAAAACATGCTATGTTAATTATTTGTATTGCAAATAGTTTTTTAAATTCAAAACAGCTACAACCAATAGCAATGATACTATGTAAGAGCGTATTTAGATTTGTAGAGAAGCAAATTCCTGAACACCAGTAAAATTTTGTTATAAACATTTTTTTTTGTAAAAATGTGCTTACAAAATGTTTTTTAGCTTAAAATTGTAATTAAAAAGTATAAACCGAAACCGAATGCCCCACAAATTTTTGCTCCGCCCCCCTTGCCCCAAAATGTCCCAAAGTGTCCCAAATTGTTTTTACCGCCCCCGTCCCCTTATAAAGCGTGACACCTAATTTAGGGCCAGTACCTTGAATAAAACTGTTTTGAATTTTGTTGTATTTTTTAATAATAATTATCATTTGAAATATCGAATTTAAAAATTAAAAAAATAAAATTGTGAATTTAACAGACAAGAATGATGAAGATATACACCAGATGGTTCCTGTTCATTGCAACCCAACTGTGGGTCTCCGTTGAAGGTTTTTTTAAAAAATTTTTTGTAATAACTTTTTCAAGCAGTGAAGTTTTAGTTTTAAAATTCTTTGGGTTGTTTTATGCTCAAAATATGATGTGACATTCAGTCAAATAAACATTGGCTGCTGGTCGAGTATTGTTCTAGTAGGCTGCCGAAACATTTATTTTTAAATATCACAACTATTGTAAAATATACATCAACTCCACTCTTGTATAGTATAGTAGACAGTTGAAAAATTATTTTTTGTACGCTATTCACTTGCAAAATTTGGTTTTGAACAGTTCTTGGCCATTGACAAGAATACTGTAACATTTTCTATCGCATGTGGAAATTGTAACAACGTCTATGACGAAGGACCTGGTTGGTGGATGATTGATCTTCAAAAGAGTGAGCCCATCTCGAGGGTTGTCCTCACCAGCAGTCACGACTCTCTCAGTACGTTTTCTATTAGAGTTTTTTCAATTCCTATATATTAAGTAATGCCATATTTGCCGGTAAAAAAAATTGAATATGCCTCAATTTACTACACGACTACACAGATTCAAAGTATTTGCAAAAGATTAAAATAATTGTGAGTGAGATTAACAAGAGTTTGGGACAAGACGGGCAGTTGTGTTATTATGTCAACAATAACACATTGTTAGAAACGGGATCAGTGTTAACTTTCGACTGCTACACCCAGCCGACATGGGGGAGGTACTTGTATGTCGTCAGGGCGGTAAATGCCATTATCAGACCTGATGCCATAGCCATTGGTGAAATTAACATTCTTACTTCAAATATTGGTTGGTGTTTCTATTAGTGTTTTAAATGATTTGATCAGTAAGACAAATAAAACTTTTTTTTGGAAAACTGTTTGAATTTAAAAATATACATAGAATTTTTTTTAGCTTAGTAGACAGTGAGAAATTATTTTTTTGTACGTAATTCATTTGCCAAATTTGTTTTTGAACAGTTCACCCTGTGAACAAACTAGAACTGTCGAATTATCACGTCGTTCAGAAAGGAACATATGGAGGTCATCACGCTGATTTGGCCATTGACAAGAATACTGTAACTTATTCCGTCGCGTGTGGAAATTGTAACGGGGCCGTTGGCGACGGTCCTGGTTGGTAGATGATTGATCTGCAGAAGAGTGAGCCCATCTCGAAGGTTGTCCTCACCAGCAGTCAAGACTCTCCCTGTACGTTTTTTATTAGAGTTTCTTCAATTCTTAAACATTAAGTAATGTCATGTTCTCAATAATTCTCTTTTTAACTCCTCTACTCTTACCTTCAGGGTACTTCAGGGTTCTATCCATGGCCCTCTTCTATTTATGCTTTATACTTTTGAACTACCTCGTATTGTTATTAACTTTTTTTTCACCAGTCAACTATATGCTGAAGATTCTTATATTTATACTTCTTNTCATCCATCTAATCTCATTAGTGTTCTTCGTAATCTACTTTTATGTCTTTCTTCAGTTATCGCTTTGTCTGATTCTATGTGTCTTAAACTTAATCCTTTCAAATTTGAATTATTTTGTTTCAATAAATTTTAACACTCCATAACTATTCCTCCTATTATTTTACCTGATTCTAAAACTCTTGATGTTTCTTACAAGTTTTGCAGTCTAGGCATTATCTTTGACTCTAGTATGTCTCTTTCTTTTCAGATTAATAGTGTTGCTAGAAATTCTTACTTTTATCTACGTAGAATAAAAAAATCTTCTTGATGATCCTACTCTTCTCCTTCTTGTTATTTCGTTAATCTTATCTAGGATTGATTATTGTAACTTGCTCCACTATGCTCTTCCTGAATCTATACTCTATCCTTTAATGATAATATTGACTTATAAAGCGCCCTGGCAAGCGACTGAGGCGCCCTCGAAACAAAAAACATCCTCTCTCAGACGTTTAAAACGCTCTATCAAATTAAAAAGTTTTTAATGACGACTTGAACGACTGTGTAGAACTGCAGTTCCTAATCTTTGGTGGAAGCAAATTCCAAACGTAAGGAGCAGCATGTCGGAATGCACGACCAGCAATATTGTTTGTTTTTTATGCTGATGAAAACGTAGAGCAATGGCAGAGCGAAGTTTTCGATTGTTTGTATTACGAATTATTCAAAATCATTATTGTTGCTGAATTTTAGTTCGTTTTTGCGAATAAATTCTTCAGTCATTAATTTGTTAAAAGTAATTTGTTAATTTACTGTTAATTAACTGTTTTTTTTAACTTACTTGCAATAATTTTGGTTATAGTTGCAATTTAAATAAATTATGTTAATGGAAGCACTAAGCTGTTAAAGTACAGCTCAGACAAATTACGTAGCTTAAACAGGTCGTACACTGTTTCAAGACGGATTAGAAAAACTTTGTTTAAATTTCATATTTGGCCCGTCCAAAATTTCGGCAAAATAAAACTAATCTGTCAAAAATTGTTTCTATGAAAAAAAAATAATAGTAAACTTTGCTCACATAAACATGAATAGTTTGCAAAATAAATATATGGCCGTAAAAGACTTTGCGATAAGAAACTGGATGTTCTCACCGTTAGTGAAAGTAGACATTATTTCTCTGACGATGTATGCATGATTCGATCAACACCGAAGGGTTACACATGCTTCGATAAAGCTCGTGAAGTCGGCAAAATCCCTGAAGCCGAACGATGGTGGTGTGGTTCTATTGGTACGAGACGGTCTAAACTGGACCTCAAATTTCAACCGAAAACGTTCGAGTATCTATGTGTATTGACGTTTCCGGCTCGTTCCGTCAACATTACTTACATTGTAATGTGGAGGAGTTTTTTGATTTATATGACTCAACTCTTAGACAAATTGTCGACCAACATGTTCAATTGGTAAACAAAAGAGTCCGTTCTAAATTATGTCGCTGGTTTGACAAAGACTGCCACAGCATAAAACGTTTTACACGAAGATTGGAAAGAATTTATCGGCTGACGAAAAACAATGCCCATCTAATCCGTTGGAGATTAACAATTGAGGAAAAACATAAATTATATTTATCAAAGGAGACAAATTCAGTTGCTTATAATCTTTAACGCCAATGAACCGAAAAGATTGTGGATCTACAAATATTAATTCTCTTTTCTTCTAGTAAGTCTTGCGGCCTTGAACCAATCCCGACTGGACTCATGAAGGAGTTTGTTGAAACACTTTTGCCATTTTTGTAAAACATGGTTAATAAAAGTATAGAAACTTCAATACTACCCAGGTCCCAAAAGATCGCTCTGTTGAAACCGCAGTTGAAAAAACCAGGTTTGGCAAGTAATGTTATTTCAAACCTCACTTTTATTTCTAAAATCATTGAACGGATAATTGCTTGTCAGCTCCTCGCCTACTTGAACAGCAACACATTGCTTCCGAAAATTCAATCAGGCTTTCGTCGAGCACATTCAACCGAGATGGCGATACTGAAGGTGGTTTAGGATGTCTGTGACACGGTTGGCGCTGGAGACATTGCACTGCTTGCACTTCTTGATGTAAGTGCTGCGTTTGACACTGTGGATCATCAAATCCTATTAGAAAGACTCTCCATTTCGTATGGTATCTGCGGTGAGGCGTTCAGGTGGTTCCAATCTTACTTGGCAGAAAGGACTCAGATTGTCTCTTTTGGTAATGATCTAAACACCGCCACCTCAGAGTTAATCCGCGGTATCCCGCAGGGTTCAGTGCTTGGCCCTCTATTGTACATCATGTACACTGCAGATGTCATCAGTGTCGTAAAGGCATCAGGTTTTCATTGTCACCTTTATGCTGATGATATCCAATTGTACGGATCTGGTCGGCCCGAGTCATCGTGTCGGCTGAATGATATGGTGTCCAGCGCAGTAAACGCAGTGAGAAATTGGATGCTATCAAACAAATTTAAGCTTAACGTTGACAAGATACAGTTTATGTGGATGGGAACATCGCATGGTCTCAGTTTGTACATGAATTAAATCTCCAGAACTATCTGAT